ATTTTGCTTTCATAAAAAGTAGTAATTGTAAAATTGTATCACAAACACATGGAAAAGAAGAGTGGAAAAGCGTATCACGTACGGGTTGGACGTCTGAGGCTCGATTCTTAGCGATAGTAAAAGAATTATTTTAGTTTCTGCGTCTATACTGGCTCTGGAGCCCACCCTATGGGTTTCCTGGGGACCTTCCCTGGAGGAAACGTGAAGCTGACTACTCACCTCCACCTAGCGCATAGGTAAAGAAGGAATGGAGCCATATCTCCACTACCCCATACGTCTTCACGGTGTGTGCATCTGCAACTGGCGTACGGTTTGGTCCACGAAATTTGAAAACTGCCTGTTTGGAATCGAACCAGTGTCTTGGTCGATCTGCCTCTCTTAATGTAGTTTAGTCAACCTTTTATGTCTCTGGGTTCCATTTCATCACTCACTTCCTCCGCTCTATTTGAACCCTAGTTCGTGTGCAATAGCTTCAAATGTGACTGCGTCCCTTTGCTTCGGAAACAACGAACCTGAAACGCCCACAGGGGCGTTGGAATGAGGGTGGCAGAAGGGGTGATCGGTCCCCAACAATTTCCCCACTTACGTGTAGACTTAATCCAATGTTGTTCGCTGCGCCACCCCCGTCCCCAGACCCCAAACCCCAGCCTTTAGATTTAAAACACTTCGACAGCTCTGAACGACCATCTAAAATAACTAAGTATCCGTCCTCACAAGTACAACAAAAGCAAATACAAAGTGAAAAATCGCGCAATCATCATGTTGTCATTTTCCAATTCAGGCAAAACATAGCTCATATTTCGGGTTATTAAGGACATCTTACTGTACAGAATTTCACAATATTGTACTTTAATGGTACTAGGATAGCCGCCACTCAAAAATTCGTTTAGTCTTTCGTTCAAGGTAAGTATTTAACCCTTTGAAGAAGAATGAGTGAGAGATGAGAAGATAAAGTGGAAGGGGGGGTTGTGAGAGGCACTACATGTAACAGGGGAGAACAGATACATTCATGGCCATGAAGGTTCCCAGTCAGTGCACACTCGTCCTTCTGATAAAGGCATCTTGAAGAGAACGTAGACAGAAGCTCATCAGAATAGTAGCCTATTTAAATATTAAATTCCTATCGCAAAGAACGCGTATCAGTTATAATGATAATTAATTAACTCTGATCATGAAATAAATTTAAATGAAAATTAATTAACTCTGATCATGAAATAAACATTGAGAATCTTACAAAATCCATTCAACTCATGATCATCGCTCTGATGATTGAGGCAATAAGCATCACTGAAACGTCGGTCAACTTATACGAGGCTGAGAAGACTGTCCTCTGCATACTCGCCCCCGTGAGAACCTGAGATCTCACGAACAGCGTGATGACTGATTACGAATGATTCTTTGACGGGAATATGAAAGTCAGTAGCTGTCTCGTTGGGCTGGATCTATTGAAATCCTCCGAGTTCATACTCAGGCGGCTTTGAAACTCGCTGCTTGAAGTGACTTACCTTAAACAGGTAAGTTTTGTTGTTTGTGTGGAACGGCTACATTCATACGAGTTAAGAAAGTGGAAAATAATGACAGCGTTCTGTTCTCTGTTATTAGGCAGATTTCCAAAAATAAAGATGCGTAATCATGCAGCCGTGCGGACCGACAACGCCGCGGTGACCCCACGTAGCTGTGAACTTATCAAACGGGAAGACAAGGCTGCAGGTGTGCAACGAGATTCGGAAATTGCACAACAAAATCGGATATGTTCATCGCTGTGTCTGTTTTCATAAACGATGAGCCTATGACTCTCAGACTCCGAGTAACGAACTCAACTAAATTACTTCTATGATGCAGAGTCCTTTTTGAGAAACGAGTGGATAACACCTGAAGGTTCATTGCCGTGTTTACCACAGCCAGCCACCGATCTCTGTCCTGAGCCAGATATATCCAAGCCTAGAACCCTCAAATTCTATTTCCTCAGTACCCGGTGTATATTATCTTCCCATCTATGCCTAGGTCTTCCAATTGGTCTGTTCACATCAGGTTTCCCAATGCGAGGAAGACAGGAAAGTAAAAGGCCCATATCAGGGCCCCTCGAGGATCGAAAACAAAGAAATCATTTCACAAATCTAATATTTTTTGTCCTATGCAGAGTACGAAATCTCTCGACAAGCACTAACCCTCCATTATCCATCCTTCGTCTCTTTCGCTTTACTAAGAAATTTGTTATCAAGAAATTTGCAGCGGGTGGAATACACTGAGTAACGTATAAACAAGGGGCACACTTTTGAGCTGACGGAGAGGTTCCAGTGGTCAAAATGCGGTTGGCACCCCTGACAGCACAGTAGTTACCAGACAATTTTACAGCAGCTACTCCTGGACATGTTGTTAGCTTAGTGATAATGTCGGATTCCCGCACGGAGCCTTGCGGTCGGTCCGCTATTGGCTCCATTATAGATCCAATTCAACGGAAGAATTCAAATTGCCGCCAGAATTGAAAAATACCAGCATAATAGCTTTGTGATTTCGCGGCTAAAAGGTTACCACTGCACGATTTGCTTTGTTCCGACTGCGATGCAACTGTGGGTCTTCTACAGGGCTCTATCGCGGCCCGCTCCCTTCCCGATAGAAAACCGAAAATAATAAAAAGTTGCAGTGACTCTGTTGGGGGAGGGTCTTTTATGTTTCCAGCAACAATGGCAGGCGTTTCGCCTCCTCTTCCCCCCAAGTAGCACTCAGAAGTCAGTGGGTGAAGGGATGATACAATTCTAAGAAGAATTCTACAATTAAACTGTTCCGAACCAACGAGGCTGCGATATCGAACCAAGCGCGACCGAGTTCAAAAAATACGACTCAGAACCGAATAAAGCTCTCCTTCATCAAAACCGAAATATATGCTATGTCTAATTTCCGGCATTTTTAGCGGAGAATGTTTCAGGATGCTGGAAAAGTGAAGTGAACAATAAGCCAGCGGCTTATGGTTCATCGTCGGCACAGTGAACAGACTGTCTTTGGTACCAAACCGATTAGCAGACAGGAGTAATTTGGCCGGAGCGCGAAGCCACTAGGAAGCCTTCCCGACGTTGTACACAGACACAGAGGTCGAAGTACCTTTGCCCTTTGACAACTCTGTTAAGACGAGGTACTCCGGAGATGACCTTATTTTAGGATTTCAACTACGAGATTGTTTACCGTAGGCCTACGTATTGGCCAACATTTATAAATGAAAAAAATTCCAAATTTCCAATTCGAAAAGTTCTTTATAATTTCCAAAGAGACCTACACTCACTGGGCAGGTCAGTATGATGCTAAAATTATAGACTTCCGTTCCGGAGTTTCGAATTTCTACCCTGTTA